TAGGCTCCCCTAGAGAGCAGAGAGCCCGATGCGGGGCTCGATCCCAGGACTCTGAGATCATGACCCGAGCCGAAGGCAGCGGCTTAACCCACTGAGCCACCCAGGCACCCCGAAAGTCATGGTTTTCTTAAGAGCAAAAGAGCACCATGTTGATTTAAGACAAAAATACAAAGACAAAGGGCACATAATTTGAGAGATTGTAAATTCCTGTCTCGAAGTACAGACCAACATTGTAACAATTAAAACAATGAAAACACACGGGTGAAGATCAGGATGAGCACTCCCACACCACCCACAAGCCGACTTCAGTGTGCTTCTCACAGGCACGTGGCAACATCAGGGTCCCCTCCCCACCGAGGGCAACTGGAGGGCTTCACTGCTCATTACCACTATTCTGACATCATCATCACTCACCACCTCCTTTCACAAAGTCAACAAGGTTTCCTCTCTCTTTCCTCATTTTGATCTCATCTCCCGGAGTCATAACCTAGGTCTTAACATTAACAATAATTACTTTTAAATTCTGGATTTTAAGCACAAATCTCCCAAGCTATCACAATCGATAACACTCACTGCGAATGCGCTGTCCCTACCAAGGTTTCTTTGACCTACTTCCACGCCCTTTCGATTCCAAGATCCATCATTATAAACACTGTCTTGCATCCCTCACCTTCAATCTCTCCCCCTCCACCTCTGCTCAGCCCAGCTCACCTCAGACTCCCAATAGGGCCCACTCAAACAAGCTGACTGTGCCCATCTGATGAGAGGGGTAGAGTTTCCAACACCAAGCCATCGGTGGACCTAAGACCATGTACTTTTTTGCCTCTCTCCCATTCTCCTGGATGAACTGTCTTTGTCCCAAAAGCCACTCTCTTCACTGATACACTGGGTCCCATTTGCTCTCAACTACTTGGTGACTTTTCCCCCCGAAATTATTCCTCCTTTCTAGAACATCATTAATTTCTCTTTCTATGGGTCATTGTCATCATCATAGGGATATCTCCCATCCTTAAAATAGAATCCCATTTTTACCCCTTTAAGCCACCCCATCTTATCGGCTGCTGTTTGTAATGAATAGTTTCAATCACCCCTCTTAGTTATTTATCCAAATCATGTGATCCGAGTCATCACATGCCTGACCTCCATCCTCCCCTCTTCTGCTGGTGAAGGACACTCACAGGAGAGGAAAAAGGAATTAGGTTCTTCTCTCTTAATGGTAACTTGGTAGTGAGACAGATATGTCTAAAATACAGAAAATTACCTGAAGAATGTAACACAAATCATGGTTCTATTTCTGTTGATATAAAAGTGTAAAATTCACCAGTTAAAAAGCAATCAAGATGGGAAATTAGAACAAAGAAAAAAAAATCAATGAACACCTTTTCATTGAGCAAGCCATGGTTGCTGGTTTTAAGGACTCTAGGACTCGGTTTACAAATATCTCAGTCACACCATACATGTAATGCTGATGCATTTCATGACTTAGGGCTTGTCATAAACTAAGTTCATTCTGTGGTTATAAACCAGAATTTATTTCTATGCAATGTTAACTGCCTGCCTAAAAACTTAAGTTCTTAGTCATAACAATTTATTTCAGTAAACTATCAAACTGAGTTTTCTTTATACATGTACTTCCTTTATTACCCTCTATTGTACTTTGCATATATAAAGTGCTCAATACATTTAATGCATGAGTAAATAAATTATCCAACCTATTACTTGGCAGTTAGCTCAGAATATATGCCTCCTCTGATAGAAAACGACTTCTCTCCCACAGAGCTGGTACCCAAGAAGACAGGACCAGGGTAGGACATAAGAGTGATGCCTTAAAATTTCTTCCTTGAACTCCTCTAACTTAATAAACAGAATTTTTAGTCAAAAAAAGCTACTTCTCATTAGCACCTAAAAAGGACCAGGCAAGCAATATTCAGATGAGAAGACTTAGAAATATATTATGTATATAATCATTAAAAATCATAAAAGATATTAACTTTTAAAGTTGCTTTTCTTTCATCTCAGCTATTTTTTTTTTCAAATATATTTAACTTAGCTTTAGTTCCATAGATAATAGTCTAGACCTCAGGAAAAGAGATGAAGGAAACCTTAAGAATAGTTTTGGACAAAATCTCTGGGGAAGGAAAATATTACTTGTCTGCAGTAGGCTACTCCACTGAAGCCCAGGGACATACCTACTCATTGATTTTGCCTTCACCTGGGCAGATGCTGCCCACAAAACCTGATGCCTGGGCCTCTAATGCAGGTGCCTCAAGCTGCTCTACTCAGTTTCCAGAACAGGCTTTCATGCCTGCTCATGTTAGTTACCGGCCACAAGGAATCTCACCTTTGCCAACCAAAAATGGACAATGGACCTATTCTGATTAAAAGAAAAAACTCTTCACAGTAAGTTTTTATTAAATTCTCATCAACGATTTGGGGAGGCCATTATTCACAGTAATGTATTTTTGCTGTAAGTAGCTCATCCACTCTTTCAACTACAGATAACGCTATCTCAGCTCACGTGGTATTTCCTATTATCCAAATCCAACTGGTAGGTATTCCAGTCTCCCAGTTCTTTCTCCCATTTTGGATTGTCTTCCCTGTCCTCTATACCCTCTGCCCATTCCTACTTCCATCTAATTCTATGCATGTACAGTAACCAATGTTAACAGTTTGATTTATTTTCTCCTACACTTGTCTAGATGTTTATAAACACGGTAAACAACACAAAATATTTATTATTGTCTTTTAAAAACAGGATAATATAAATTTTTCAAAGGTGTAATATATAGCTCTAACTCATTTTTATTAATAATTACATAAGAAGGATATAGCTTTATGTGAAAGATATATTTTTTTCAATTCTTCATCAATCAATATTGTTCTCCTTTTTTTCTATCCAAGATAATTTTGAAGTAAACATCCATATACATAAAATCTTATGGTCGAAATAACCCATCTCTATACTACATATGTCTAAGCATGACTAATCAAAGGTTACTAAACACTGTAAATGCCAGTTCATAGCAATATTCCATTTTAAACAAAGATTATAGCATTGCACATTCTCATATGGAATGACAAAGAATGTGCATTTCCTCAAACTTTAGTTAGATTATAATGTATACTATTTTTTTAAGGCTTGTCTATTTGGTAGAACAAAGAAAATCATATTTTCATCTTGAATTTTATATCTCTGATCAGTAGAGTGGAAAACATTTCCATATAGTCATTGGTTTTTTGCATTTTTCTTCAGCGAACTACTGTTCACATTTTTTGCCTAGTTTTCTATTCTGTTATTTCGCTTTTTTCTTTTTTTCCCATCAACATTAGGAATCATTAATATATTAATTATATCAACACTTTGTCATATTTTGGCACATATTTTCTCTTGGCCTATTTTTTTCTACTATTTTATGTTGAATATGTCCTTGTGATTCTGAACCCTCAGTTGTGTCCTACAGAGAGAGCATTCTTTCCACTTTGGGCCAACTGGACACTACAGTGTTGAGAATGGTAAGATAAAATCTATTAAAATTTCCTTGTAACTCTCATAGATTTATGCTCCCACATGATCTTTAAAATAGTTTGATCCAGTTTGCCAAAGAAACAATCAGCCACAAGATCTTATTACAACAGCCTAAAGTTTTTATCTAAATTTGGGAGAGTAACATTATCATGATAACCATGCTTTTCTACACAGGATCATAGTACGCTTTGTCATTTATTCTTAATTACTTTACGTCTTTTGAAAAAAATGTTACAGTTGTCATCAGATAGGTCTTGTCATTTTCTTATTAAATTTATTCCTCCTGTCTTACATTTTGTCCATACTCCAAAGTTAGTGGCCCAGCGAGACTTCTAGATATATGAGAAAGAAATCATGACATAAACCAACTTTAACAAAGGGGTATCTTGAGTACGGGAACTGGCACGAATCTTTGCTCCTTCCTTCTATTTCCCCTCAAACATAATCAGCAAACATGCATGAGTGGGTTTCTGGAAGCAAACTAATCCAGCAATACAGCCTGTTCCCTACTTACTGACCATTTTCACAAACCAGATTATCCAATTACTCTATTCAGCTTTCCCTTGTGTCCCTACTTAGCAGCACACTTCTTTCCCTCATGACAAACATTTGACTGACAGCATCATTGGTCCCTTTGTAGGGGATCCTCCCTCAGCTCCTCTGTTGCTTATTCACACCCTTGAGGCATATAACCCCACACAAAGGATGATTTCTCAATCTTTTTTTAAATTATGATTTATATTCCGGCACATGCTAAAAGAAGTGAAAAAAAATCTTGATTTTCCAGCTTTCTTTGATTACTTACCGTAACCTTTTATTTACAAGAAACACGACTTTTAAGAAAATTGTTTTTTAAATCCAAGACTTCAGATTTTACTTACTTAGCCATTTATAAGGCCAAAGTAATGTTGGAGGAAGAACCACTCAGACTGCAATTCATTTTATAGGGAAAATTCTAAAATGCATTCTTCCAGAACCATCTCAGAAACACTAGAAAGACCAATTTCCCTTGACCCAACATAGTATTCATCTGCTGTCACCATACTAATTTTTCATACTTCTGGATTTATTTTGGTTGTTGATTAGACTTTCTTTTTTCTTTTTCCTTTTCTTTCTTTTTTTTTTTTTTTAGACTTTATATTTCCTAAAGACCAATTATTTGGCCTCATACCTATAACTGTACTAAATGTCAGGTCCATCACCAAATCTACCAAAACTTCACCAGTAGGGATTTCTGACTATAAAGTGTTCTTTCCCCGGTATGGAATATTTTTCAAGGAAAACTGCCTAAATCATCATTAAAAACATAGTCAAAAGCAATTATAGTCCAATTTTAGTATTTTTATAAGAAATACCAACATTCTGCCAGAAAATAATGATTTCTTTCCATTATCACTGAGTCATCCTTGTTCATCTGCAAGAACAACTTCTCGTACATTCCCATAAGTAGGTCACAAAAGTGGAATGTGTCTACCTGTTCTTTGACCGAGGCGAGGATGGCAGAGGTGGTTTCCGTTTCAGAGCCATCCCCGTTGGAGGTGGTCAGGCCAGGGCTCAGGGAGCTGGTCTTCTCTGAGGTTGACGAAGGCTGGTCTGGGACAGGCATAGCTCCTGCAAGGCAAAAGGACATGCTTAATGCAACAGGATGTGGCCACTGCACCCAGACATAACTATCAGGCAACTGTCAGCAGTGCTCTTTAGAAAAAATGAAAATTATGAACTACATAGAAAGCAAGTGACGTCATTACAGAACAGGAAACAATACAAGTAAACAGAATGGCTTCTCCTCTTTCAATTCAAACAAATTGCAGGATCTACGCACAACTCTGTGTTTTATAAGTGGAAGAAGAGATATAAGAAGTAAAAGGCACATAAGGTAATAAGAAAGAGTAAAGAAATGAAGAAGTACTGAGTCTAAAAAAAAAAAAAAAGGCCAGCTGAACTACCATTTTACTGCAGCCCAATTCATAAATGGACAAACAGATACAGCTTAAAAACAGCATCCCAAAAGTTATTTTTTTCTTATTATCTTTCTCAAACAAGTAAGACCAGTAAGACCAAAGTACTTGATACAAATATTACCTAGTGATGCTTATCAGCAGAGGAAATAATAATTAACGGTGGACAACTTTTACCAGGGCTCTACAAAATCACTCTTCAAATAAAAGTCTGGGAGGAAAACAAAGTTGTTTTCTTGCCTAAAGCTATCATATTATATGTCCCTCCAGGAACCGGACTTATGTGAATGTTAAAAAACTATTTCCTATTATACTGTAACTGGGCAGTCTGGGTTTTACAGTAAGCAACATAATTTCCATAGGAACCCCAGTGCTGTGATATATTTGTTAATAGTTAATAATTTAGGGCGATGCTAATTGAAAAGGATTCTATTCTGGAATTGTCCTTAAAGTATATGAAAAGACTGGTCATCTAATTTTCTCATTGGGCATTCCAACTTAGTTTTGATTTGTTTTTGTCTTTTAAATAGTTGTTTTAATAATATTACCAATGAGGATTAGAATAGCATTGGAAAGATAAATCTGTTACAAACAGAATTTATAGGAGGGTTGGAGAAAATAGTATTAGTAAGCAGGATGTGAGCAAAGAGTGAAGATCAAATTAAACATAGTATAGCAAAATGCAACCTTGGCTAAAAAACAGAAGGTATTTTAGGATATGGATACCAACAGGATGAAAGAAAGTGATTTAAATAATTATGGTGGTGGGGTTGGGAAGACAAGAAGAAAGTACAGTTTCCTATTCAACTTGCTTTCATATGCAGTATTTGGTCGAGCTCGTAATTACAAGGATTTAGATAAACAGATTAACAAATGGTGTGCCCAGGTAATACAGCCTGAAAGCCAAGCCCTTCTAATTAGGAAAGGTTTTAGAGATGGGGGGAAGGAGGACAAGGGCAGAAGGCAAGAAGAAAGGAAAGGCAGTCTTGGGTGCAGTGCTTCCCCCCTTCCCAACCCTGCGTCTCCACTTGTATCTATGTCAGTGGCTTCCAAAGGAGACTCTCTCTACACAAGGACAGCCTGAAGCCATGAAAGGAGTCTTGCAGGTTTTCAGTCATTACTTTCACTTTCATGTTTCTAAATTTTATTGGGCCCATGTGAATCCAAATTCTGGACGAGTATTCTGGACAACCTGTTTTTTGACAAAGAAACTATCTACGGTCCCAAAGTTATTTATATAATTGGGCCTAGATCTCAGGTTTTCTTCCCTTTTATTTCTATTTTAGAGTCCTTTGATGTGTCAGCCTATTTCCCATAATCTGGGCTGCTGCCTCATAAATGCTTAGTCTATACGCCAATTTTTATAAAATGTTATTTTTTAAAAGAATGAGCATAACCTGTCATAATAAAATACGGGATTTAATACGCAATGAATCAAGGCATATCCTTGGGCACTGGACAACTCCGACCCACACACTCTAAGAAATGAGAAAGTCTGTTTATCTACCCCCCTTTCTCCTTCTGCAGTAACAGAACAAAAGTGAACGCTTCAGGGCTTAGCCTGCCACACGGAGCTGCCACTACCAAGGCAACCTCTATGAGTGAACGGAAATGATTTGGAATAATTCCCATGTCTCGTAATTTTTCACGTCCAGACTTAACTCAACCATTGGCCATCCCTGTATGTGAACGGGTCAGATGGCCCAACTTCCACTGCCATTGTCTGAGCTCACGGCACAAGGAGAGAAGGAGAACCACGTGAAGGCCACCAGAAGCAAGCCGTGGGCTGCCCAATGGTAAGTGTGAAAAGCCAGAAGCTTTCTGACTTTGCAAGAAATGGTGAAGTACTTTAGTTTTCATTAGAACGAATCCACTAAGATTTGTAGTTAATCTGTGTTAAATCCAGGAAATCTGGAAAATGTAGGAAGACAAAAGAAAAGAAAAGAAAAAAAAAAAAGGAAGAAGAGCAATCCTCAGTAATTCTGGCAGATACTTACACTTAGGTATTTGGTACAGGTTTCTCTGATGGGATTTTTTTTTTTTTTTTTTCTGATTTAACTCATTCTGTATAGTAAGATTTACATGATGGAGTACTACTGAGGTAGTACTTTTTTTTTTTTTTTTAATTTTTGTTCAGCAACATATCATGAACTTTTTTTTTTTTTAATTTGAGAGAGAGAGAGTGTGTGCATAGGAGTGGACGGAGGGGCAGAGGAAGAAAGAGATGCAGACTCCCCGCTGAGCAGGGAGCCCACCAACCAACGGGGGCTTGATCCCCAGGACCCCAGGATCGTGATCTGAGCTGAAGGCAGACGCTTCACTGACTGAGCCACCCAGGCGCCCCAGCATGAATTATTTCTTATGGCAACAAAAATTATTCCATAGTTTAAAAACATAACGAAGTGCTCACTTGGGCAGTACATATGCTAAAAATGTAATGAGTACCTAGTATTCACAATGCGTCATAATTTACATTATCTTTTATCATTTTTATCCCAATTTTATGGGGACGTTTTCAATAAATTCCTAGATGTGGTGTTGGTGGAATGAGGAAGTGGTGCGTGTTCAGACTCTGAGAGCCCAAACAAATTTTCCTGCCGCTAGGCTGGTTCACCACACTGCCCATCAGCACTGCCCTGAGAAGTTCCCTCCCCACCCTGTTAACAACACAGGCCCTCAGGATCCTCTCCTGCTTCCCCAATTCCATATAGAAGAATTCATCCCTTTGCTTTTTGGATCTCTTTGGCAAGGAGCAGAGCAGATGTTTTCCCGCAGATTCTCACATCTCTTCATCCTCTTTATTCAACTACCGGGTAAGAAGTCTTTCTCCCGAGAGTGGATGCTAATCTGCTAATTCCTGAGCTGGAATTTGGACTTGGTGATACCGACACGCTCAGAAGCAGGAGCAGCTGTACTGACTCTTCTCTCCACCCCGGATCCCGCCCCTGCCCCAAATCCATACCCTGAAACCCTAATGCTCAGCACCAGTGCATTTGGACACGGGGCCTTCAGGGAGGTAATTAAGGTTAAATGCCTGTATCAGGGTGGGGTTTATAAGGCTGTTGTCCTTACATAAAGAGGAAAAGACTCTTTCTCTCCCTCCTAGAGGACACAGAGAGAAGCTGGCCACCACAAAGAGTGCTCCCAGCAAAAGTGCACCAACCCGGCACTTTGATCTTGGACTTCGGGCCTCCAGAACTGTGAGGAAAGACATTCCTGCTGTTTAAGCCCCTCTGGGTGTGGCAGCCTAGGAAGTCTACTATAAGCAGGGCTGGGCTGGTCTCAGCTTCCCCGTGAGGCAAGTACAGGGGGGCCCTGGGAACCGACGGGAGCAAGATGCAGCGTGGGGGCCGGGGTTCCATCCCGTCCAGCGCCCTGCTGACTCCTGCATCCGAGATGAAACACAGCTTCGGAGAAAGGCATGAGCTGCTGCGAGTCAGCAACCGGGAAAAATGAAAGCTTATACGCAGGTTGTGCCCCACCGATGTGAAGTAAGCCTGCAGGACAAATGCTCTCTTAAGAACCGCCCCCTAGTACTCTCAAAGACCATGCGGTAACACATTAGAAAAGTTGGCCGGGATGACGCGAATAGCAGAGGCAGGCTGCCCCCCAGATACAGAGTGTCCTTCTCAATTTGAACTCTTCTATCTGTATGTGATAAGATTTCATGAGGTCCAAATAAATATTCTAAACCTTTATTTCCCAGACCTGAGTCACTGTAAAGTTACATTAGACTTGGTAACATGTTAAAATCTTATGTGCACTTTAAAAGGCCAAACTTTCTTGCTCCCAATTCAAGTGCTGCATTCAATGCTATATTTTATGAACTTCCATCTCACAAAAAAGAAAGTGCAATTCTTATTTTATATTTGATAATTCAAATTTGTTCCTTCTTCGGCCACTTCTGCCCAGCAATGGGTGGCTTTGCTGGAGATCATCAAGAACACATGACAATCAGTTAACCCCAGAGCTGGACCCGGGCCATTGGAGGCTCCCTACTCCCCACTCTGTCCTTGGGATGTGTGTGGGCTTGCCTTCCCCACTTTCAGAAGCTGCTCTAAGAATATAGCCTTGCGGTAGAACTGTGGTGTTGAGGTTATCCATACTGGGTATATGACTGAACCCGGTTAAGGCCTGTGTAAACTTTTAAGATTCCGCCCAGTGGCTGCGGAAATCTACTTGTCGTGTAACCACCCAAGCTGAGCCTGGTAAGTAAGTTCACTTACTTAGTCAACCTGCCGCCGACCAGTCTAGAAGGGTCTGATGCTTTCTTCAGTCTCTCCCTGCCCTCTGAGCATGGAGGCCAGTCTGCAAACCCACAGATTTTGATATCCGATGGCCAAAGTCAATGAACTGACGGACTCTGGTGTCACACATTCATCCAAGTCAAAGAGCTACCGAGCATTCTCCTGTCACCATTACTTTGATTTCCTCCTCCTCTCTAATTCAGTGATAAGCTCCTTTGGCCCTGAGGAGGTCTTTCCCCTCTTGAAGTCTTTCCTCCTCCAAATGCATAACCCATAACAACCTCTTACCCTTTCAACTGTCTTCTCATTCTGTTATGCCCAGACCCTCACGCTCTGTTGTCACAGAGACCTGCTTCTTTCTTCTTCCAGGTTAGCAGGTCCTACCTACTTCAAAGTCCAGGATCTC